CATCGATGTCCAAATACGATTATCGAATCCGTAATAAGCTTTGCGGAAACGCGCATACATGTTGTACAGTATAGCGTATCGATTTCTGTCAAAATCCAAGTTCATGTCGTCGTACGGTAAAAAATCTGAATTCAGATGCAGTCTCACATTGGTGAGTTTACAAGCGTCAAATTGCGTAGCGTTTTCAGACAGTACGTTTTTTCGACCGGTTTGGAGAGCAAAGATTACGTATCGCGATTTTTCCAATTGCGTCGCGGCTTTGACCGCCCAGGAATGCTTCGTTGTATTCTGCAGCAGAGGAAATTTGTACAGATCCCACGAACGGAAGCACACGCTCAGATATCTTCCGCTTTCCAAAGTTCGAAGAAGAGACAGCTTGTTGACTTCGCTCAGAGATACGTGCGGCATTCGCCACTGTATCTTGAGTAGTTCGATCGTTGGATTCGTACCGACTCGTCCAACGAGACAATTGTTATCGTTGCGCGATCGTATCAATACAAGTTCGTGACGAGCGTTGATTACAATCTGTTTGTAGTCCTCGCAGAATCCTAAAAGAGTATTGAGCGGAACCCAAAAATTAAAGTTTCCATCGAGCAATGGATTTCCATCCGGATTCCACGATGCGTATTTCAGCGTCTTGCTCTTCTCCGTCGTCAGCGATACATAGTTTTTGATCGTGCTCGTTATTCCAACGTTTCTGTTACGATCGATTTCAACTCCGTCGAGCTCGTATCGCATTTCATCAAACATGAACGCGACACAATTATTTCTCATTATACATACGTCATCTCTATTCTCATCGGCAGGAGTAACGAGTTTTCCTTCAATGTAGAGAAAACTCTCACACGGCAACGTGTACAAATCCTGTTGCTGTATAGGTATTCGTATCTCGTCGCTGTGTCCCAACGTCGTGTTAGCGTACGAATTGTACGTGTGCATCACATATTTCACGATACGCTCGTCGAAGACGGGCTCGTCAGCGATGTCGAGTATATCTATCTCTTTAATCGTTTTTCACAACGAATTCCAATGATTTTAAAAAGTTTACGTTCGTCGTACTGAGCCTCTTGAATAGCGATGTTTTCTCAATTTTCGTTGTTCTCTCAATCACTCGCTGTTCGTTCAACACGAGCATTTCCTCGCACCACGTCGCCGCAAGTGCAATCTGATGGTAATCTCCTTTCCGCGAAAATCAATCAATCGTCCGTCTTGATCCACGACGACTGATGTCGATTGATGGCGGATCGATTTTTATATCTATTTTCTGGAGGAACAGGAGGCACAATTGTCCGCAGATCGTTTGATCGTACGTCTGGTAGACTGTGCGATTGTACGTTATCGTTGTATCGGTGTCTCCGAGGTAGCGTGTAAGCTCCTTCGGCGGTTGCAAATTGCCAAAGCTGTCAAAGTATACGGCACGATCGCCTCTCTTGGC